GGTTCTGGATGTGGAACCTACAGATATGGAGGATCAACTGTATTCACAATGTTGTGCAGCTATCACCATGATCATTTCCAAAAGCTTTTCATCATCCCAATTAGAAACCCTATACCCATACAATAATAATTCCTCCTAATTCCTCCTTACCCCTAGTCCCTGGTAACCTCTATTGTACTTTCTGTCTCTAAGAATTTGCCCATTCTAGGTACCTCTTATAAGTGGAATTGCACAATATTTGTTCTTTTATGCCTGGTTTATTTCACCTAATGTAATGTTTTCCAGGTTTATCCATGTTGCAGCATGTACCAGAATTTCTTTTTTTTAAGGCAGAATAATACTGCATTATATGTATGTATATACCATATTTTGTTTATCCATTCATATGTTGATGGACATTTATGTTATTTCCATGTTTTGGCTGTTGTGAATAATGCTACTATGAACATTGGCATACAGATACCTGTTAGATTCTCTGCTTTCAATTCATTTGGGTATGGACCTAGAAGTGGAATTGCTGGATCATATGGTAGCTCTGTTTCACATTTTGAGGAAGTGCCAAACCCTTTTCCACAGCAGCTGCACCATTTTACATTCCTACCAGCAATATACCAGGGTTCAGTTGCTTCATGTCCTCACCAATACTTGCAATGTTTCATTTTTCTTTTAACGATAGCCATCCTAATGGGTGTGAACCGGTATCTCGTTGCAGTTTTTATTTGCATATCCCTAATGACTAGTGATGCTTAGCAGCTTTTCATGTGCTTATTGGTCACTTGTAGATCTTCTTTGAAGATATGTCTATTCAAGTCCTTTGCCCATTTTAAAACCCTTTTTTTGTTTGTTTGTTTTGTTTTTTGAGACAGGGTCTTGCTTTGTCACCCAGTCTGGAGTACAGTGGTATGATCTCAGCTTACTACAACCTTCACCTCCTGGACTCAAGCAATCTTCCTACCTCAGCCTCCCAAGGAGGTGGGACTACAGGTGTGCCACCACACCTGTCTAATTTTTGTGGGTTTTTTTTGGTAGGGACAGGGTTTCACCATGTTGCCCAGGATGGTCTTGAATTTCTGGACTCAAGCAATCTACCCACCTCAGCTCCTAAGGTTCTGGGCTTACAAGTATGAGCCACTGTGCCTAGCCTTAAAATCAAGGTTTTTGTTGTTGTTGAGTTTTATAAGTTCTTTATATAGTGTGGATATTAATCCCTCATTGGATGTAAGATTTGTGAGTATTTTCTCTCATTCTTGTGACTTATCTTTTTACTATCTTGATGGTGTCCTTTGATGCATAAAAGTTTTTAATTTTAGGCTGGGCATAGTGGCTCACACCTATAACCCCAGCACTTTGGGATGCCAAGACAGGTGGATGGCTTGAGCCCAGGAGTTTGAGACCAGCCTTGCCAACATGGTGAAACCCTGCCTGTAGAAAAAATACAAAAATTAGCTGGGCATGGTGGTGCACGTCTGTAGTCGCAGCTACTCAGGAGGCTAAGATAAGAGGATCTCTTGAGTCTGGAAGGCAGAGGTTGCAGTGAGTGGCATGATTGTGCCACTGTGCTCCAGTCTGGGTGACAGAGTGAGACTCTGTCTCAAAAAAGTTTTAAATTTTGATGAAGATCAATTTATTTATTTTGTTGTTGTTGTTGATGTTGCCTGTGCTTTTGGTGTCATATCCAGGAAATCATCATCAAATCCAACGTCATGAAGCGTTTTCATATTTTCTCCTGAGAGTTTTATAGTGTTAGCTCTTATATTTACGTCTTTGAACTATTTCTTTTTTTATGTCACCATGTCTAAGAATCTTCTATCTGTTTTGAGTTAATTTTTGTATATAATATAGGTCGGGGTCCAACGTCATTCCTTTGCATGTTGATATCCAATTTTCCCAGCACCATTTGTTGAAAAGACTTCTTTCTGCCATCAAATGGTCTTAACATAGTTGTTGAGAATCTAGTGAGTGTATATGCAAGAGCTTATTTCTGGGCTTGCTGTCTTCCTTCCTTCCTCCTTTCCTTTCTCTTTTCCTTTCCTTTCTTCCCTTTTGCTTCCTTCCCTAGTTCCATCCATTTCTTCCCTTTTCTTTCTTTCTTTCTTTGATTGATTGATTGATTGATTGATTGAGACAGGGTCTCACTCTGTCATCCAGGCTAGAATGCAGTGGTGTGATAATGGCTCACTGCAGCCTCCACCTGGGCTCAAGCGATCTTTTCATCTCAGCCTCTCAAGTAGCTGGAACCACAGGCGTATGCCACCATGCCTGGCTAATTTTTCCTATTTTTTGTAGAGATAGGATTTCACAACGTCGCCAGGCTGGTCTCAAACTCCTGGGCTCAAGCAATCCACCTGCCTCAGCCTGCCAAAGTGCTGAGATTACAGACTTGAGCCACTGCACCTGGCCTATTTCTGGGCTTCCCATTATATTTCATGGTTTTTATGTCTGTTCTTAATGTCAGTACCACACATGTTGTGGTATCTGTAGTTTTAAAATCAGTGAGTGTGAATCTTTCATGTTGTTTTTCTAGATTTTTTTGGCTATTTGAGGTTCCTTGAAATTCCATATGAATTTTAGGATTAATTTGTCTATTTATGCAAAAAAATGTCATTGGGATTTTGGTAGGGATTGCACTGAATCTGTAGATTGCTTTAGATAGTATACATTGTCATTTTAACAATTTAGTGTCTTCTAATCCATGAACACAGGATTAGGTTGTATTTTGATAGTTGGTGGTTTTTGAAAAATTGGTCCATTTCTTCCAAGTTGTCCAGTAAGTGAGCTAAAAAAAGTTAATGTTATTTCATTATTATTCTTTTAATGGCTGCGAGATCTATAATGTCCCATTTCAGTCCTTTTATTGGCATAGCATCTTTTTCAACTTTTATATTTGTTAGTAACACTAGAGGTTTATCCCTTTTTTACTATATAAATAAGCTTTTGGTTTTATTGATTTTTTTTTTTTTTTTTTTTTTTTTTTTTTTTTTTTTTTTTTTTTTTTTTTTTTTTGACGGAGTTTCGCTCTTGTTACCCAGGCTGGCGTGCAATGGCGCGATCTCGGCTCACCGCAACCTCCGCCTCCTGGGTTCAGGCAATTCTCCTGCCTCAGCCTCCTGAGTAGCTGGGACTACAGGCACGCACCACCATGCCCAGCTAATGTTTTGTATTTTTAGTAGAGACGGGGTTTCACCATGTTGACCAGGATGGTCTTGATCTCTTAACCTCGTGATCCACCCGCCTCGGCCTCCCAAAGTGCTGGGATTACAGGCTTGAGCCACCGTGCCCGGCGATTTTTTTTTTTTTTTTTAGTATTGCATTCCCATTTTCAATTTCATGGATTTTTTATTTCCATCTGCTTCTTTGGTTTTGTTTTTCTAGTATCTAGCTAGCTTCTGTTTCTAGCATCTTGAATTAGTAACTTAGATTATTGATTTGAGGCCTTTCTTCATACCTAACTTAAGCATTCAGTGCTACAAACTTCTCTCTGAGCATTGCTTTAGCTGCATCCTACATATTTTGCTATGTTGTATTTTCATTTTCACACAGTTCTATGTATTTTTTAAATTTTTCTTTGAAACTTTTTCTTTGACTCTTGTTTTATTTAGAAGTATGTTGTTTATATCTAAGTGTTTAGAGATTTTCTTGTTTTCTATTATTCTCTGCTTCTAATTTGAATTAATTATAATCGATGATACCTCTCCGTATAGTTTCAATACTTTTAAGTTTGTTGAAATTTATTTCCTGGTTCAGGATATGATCTCAGGTCAATATTCTGTGAGTGCTTAAACAGTTGTTTACTCTGCTGTGGTTGGCTGGTGTGTCCTGTTGTGTCAATTAGATCCTTTTGGTTGATTATTGTTCAGTTCTTCAATATCTCCGTAGATTTTCCATCTAGTAGTTCTACCAATTGCTGAGAGTAGAGTGTTGAAGTCCCCAACTATAAGTGCATTTGTTTATTTCTTCTTTTAGCTCTATCAGGTTTTACGTAATGTGTCTAGACACTCTATTGTGAGGTGAACACACATTCAGGATTGTTATGTCTTCCTGGTGGATTGATCCTTTTATCATTTTGTAATATCCCTCTTTATTCCAACTGAGAACTGTTGGGTCATGACTTACTGTATTGTTTTGTACTTTCTTTGCAGAAGATTCAGACCTGCATTTATTTGATCCACAGACAACACTGAAGGTCTGTTGAAAAATTATAGGCAATACATTTTAAATGTCCCCAGGCAGTTTGGATATCACATTATTGCTCTGTAAAACTCATTTAGGTTTTTTTCCCCACATACGTTGCTGTTTCTGTCCCAGGTGCTTGCTGTATATAGCACTGTCTCTGTCTTTTCCCTCTATTAACTTCAATAGTGGGAATAGTTACAGCACAGTCTTTTGAAGTTCAAGAAAATAATCAACTGGAATATTCATGAATGCTATCTGTGTAATTGGTGTGAAAGACTTCCATATTTGAAAGGAATCTGTTTGAGTCCAGAGACCTAGTGTTTATAATAGTAACCACAGTTATAAAATTATATATGTGTGTTGTAACCACTTTACGTTTATAAGATACTACCAGAGTCCACTGGGAATGTAACCTCAATCTGTCCATCCCTGGGCAGGATTAGCTATAGTTCAAGTGCCAGGTTGATAGTGGTGGAACCAAGGCTTGGAGCTCTCAAGCACTCGTGCTCGAGCTCTGGAACTCCTTGGTTCATGTGGTCATCTCTTGCAGATCCAGGCTCAAGTCTCAGCTTTACCACTTACCTGGCCACATGTGGGACTGTGTCTGCCTCATAACCCCCATCCCCCAAAGAAAAGTGAGCAGAACCCACCTCGTTTAAGCCTTTTATATCTCTTTGTCATCCATCTCAAAGTGATTCTTCAGAGGTCCTGTAGGAGCCTCAAGGAACAAGACAAGAATATTCATGATGTGACTTCCCTGAGCCATGAATGGCTGTTGCATTTTGTTCCTAATATGCTCCCTTTGCTGTCCTCCCTTCCCCTTTTAGAGACATGGGACCGTGTAACCACCACCACAACCAAAAGGCCAGTAACCACCAGAGCTCCAGCAAATACTTTAGGTAAGGTGGGCACTCTGAGGAGAGCAGTAAGGGAAGGATCCCATTGGGGCTCCCTCTGAGGCAGTATCCAAAAGAGCTACCCATAGATGAACTAATTGAGTATTTCTTTTATTTTGGGATCCCATGAAGGAAATGATTTTGACTTGGCTGATGCCTTAGATGATCGAAATGATCGAGTTGATGGCCGCAGGAAACCAAGTGCTGGAGGAGGAGGTAAGTCCCACCTGGTCGGGTTCTGTCTCATTAATTATAACATCACACAGAGCCAGAGCCAGTCTGCACCTGGCAGAGCTGGAGGCGCTTCAGGCCACTGGAGAACCCATAATAGTGGCACTCAAGCTTTTTTTCATCTTGGGACTCTCAAAATCATTGAGATCTCAAGAGATTTTGCTTATGTGGGTCATGCTTGTCAATACTCAATATCTTAGAGATTAAAACTGAAAGACTTTACTAATTAAAATGAACAACACTAAACTCATACATTTAACACAAATAACATTTTTATGAGAAATAACTATGCTTGGCAAGACAAAAACTTGTATTGTGGAGAGCGGCACGATGTTACATTTTTGCAGATTTCTCTCATGTCTGGCTGGATAGAAGCAGCTGGATTCTCACACACACTTTACTCCATTGTGAGATGTTGTTTTGGTTGAAGTATATGAAGGAAGTCTGGCCTCACACTCATACGCAGTGGGGAAAGAGAGGAATATTTTCATAGACTCTTCAGATTCTTGTGGATAATCTTCTTGGATAGGACACCATAACTTGGCCCCAACAAAAGCGGTTGTTTCTTATGGGTTAAGCTCAGTGTAGAGTGTGAAACTGTCAGTGAGCTTCCCACACTTGGTTCCATGGGACTCCCTTGTCCTTTCAATGAATCTTTTACCCATTCATAAATTTTCTGCTTCCTTGTATCAGTTTCCTTGCTGCATAACAAAAATCAGAAACTCTGAGTTCAGACAACGCCCATTTATTATCTCACTGTTTCCTTTGGTCCGGAGTTCAGGAAAAGCTAAGCTGAGTTTTCTGCTCAGGAGCTCATATAGCTGTGGTCACGGTGTTGGTGAGGGCTGGGGTCTCATCTGAGGTTGGGTCCTCTTCCAAGCTCAATTGGTTGTTGACAGTACATTCCCTAGCAGCTGTAAAAATAACAGGTGCTTGCTGCTTCAAGACCAAAGGAGAACTTCCGAGAGGGGCTGGTATGGGGAGAAAGCAGGAGAAACCGGCCAACTCTGTTGCTCCTCATGTCTGAGCTCAGAGAAGGCCTGAACCTGCTTTTGAGGATATCACCTGATTAAGTCATGCCCGTGTAGGATAATCTCCTTTTTGATTAATGCAAAGTCAAATTGATTTGGTACCTTAATTACCTCTGCAAAATCCCTTCACCTTTGGCATGTAATCTAACCTAATCATGGGGGTGATAGCCATCCTCTTTGTGGTTCCACTCACACTCAGATTGGCGGGACATTATTTGGCACATGTACACCAGTGGGAGAGGGCCTGGGGGGCTCTTAAAATTTCATCAAGGGCATTTATTTATTAAGTGGAACTGGTAATCATTTTCTACACCTTGGGCAACATTAACACAAATTTCCTGTTGCTGAAATGTTTTCTTGTCATTGAACTGTATGTTTTATTTTCTCCAGGTTTTTCAGATAAGGATCTTGAAGACATATTGGGGGGTGGAGAATACAAACCTGACAAGGGTAAAGGTAGGAGCATTGATTTGTGCCAACACACCCCTTATTCTGGTGAAAAGGGTCCAGCAACCAGATTAATTGGGCCTCTGGGAAATGAGTGGTAGTTCCCAGGCATTCCAGCCTGCCAGTTGGGGTTCCTTTGGAATGATGTGAGCCATGCAGTTCAAGGGTGGGGATTTATAACCATCTTGGAAAAGCCTCACATTTCGCCTGACGTTCCTTAAGCAACAGTGCTCACGGGTTAATGGTTCATGCTGGCAGAAGCCTATTTGCTGAGGCAACACCACCAATGATGATAACTGTGGGCCAGTGGACCCTGAAAACAGCCCTCTCAACCTCAAGAGACTCACTCTTTCTTGGGATGGGAGGAGCAAACTCATCATGACAAGTATTTTTTTAAGAGACCCATAGCAAGTCAGATATATTTTTAAAATACCTTTTTATTTTGAAATGGTTCTCACAAGAAGTTATAAAAATACTTCAAGAGAGTTCCTGTGTACACTTCACCTAGCTTCTCCTTACATAACCATAGTAATTGTCTAAACCAGGAAATCAACACTAGTACAATACTGTTAAGTCAGGTACAGACCTTGTTCAGATTTCATCAGATTTTGCCTGCATTCAGATATGCATGTGTGAGCGAGTGTGAGTAGGTCCTGTAAAATGTTATGTGTGTAGATTTGAGTAACCATCACCATAATTAGGAGGCAGAACTGTTCCATCACGATAGAGAAGTTTCCTCATGCTACTCCAGAATATTCATGTCCTCCCCAAGGCCAGATAGTGTTAATACCCCAAACTACCAATGATTGAAACCTTTCATCATAGTATACATCAAGTATGGAGGGAATATTAGCCAGATTTGTTGATGTGGCAAGACAAGCTAGTGTTTGTAACTTGTGGTTGTAACCTGTTGTAACTGTAAGTTGTGATTATAATCTGTTGTGATAGTAATGTGTTACAATGGTAAGTTGTGGTAGTAACTCTGGTAGTAACCTGTTGTGACAGCAAATTGCTGTTATACCCGGTTATAAGTGTGACAAGTTGTGGGTGTATCTGGTTGTAACCCTGATACACTCCCCACAGTCTTGGCTGTGGTTACTAGTGTTTGCTCTTTTTTCCCAAGAATGGTGTGCCTTTAATATGGGAACAATGTTCTCTTCCGATTAAAGGATACCATAGTCAAATTTGTCCTTCGAAACACCTTTTCAGACGGAGCCACCTCTAGTAAAAAGCTCTAAAAGCCTCTAAATGAAACTCACAGGTGTCAGGAGAACATGGAACAGTTAAAGGGCAAATCCAGCAAATTAGCCAATTACTCCTGGGTGAAAAGTGGCATTTCCAGGTGGTGAGAGGAGGGCAGTAGGCACGTGTGTAAGCATACACATGAATGAAAGTCTGAATGACATGTCGGGGCTTTTCCTTGTTAAAAATGCATGTTTTAGCAAGGAAGAAGTGTTCAGAAATTCTTTAATTAGACTCATATTTGAACTTCTCTTGTAAAGTATAATCAATTGTTAGCTTAAGTTATACCCTTTGCCATTATAGGTGTCAGGAAAAGAAGATAAAGGGGGTCATGGAAAAAAGGACAAGTGTGAAACTGAAACATGGTTATGATAAGCACACCATAGAATTCTCAGGCACTGTCCTTTGCACAAAAATATGCTAATGCTGTGAGCAAAGGTAAAACATCACATTTCAATAAATTATGATCTTTAGCATGAAAAGGATCCTAATTAATGCATTTTTCAGGCTTGGGTCTTAGGCACAGAGATTCAGCTATACTTTTAGAGTGTATTTTTGAAATAATACATTATTTGTTACAGATTTTTTCTCAATAAGACTTCTTGCTGACCCTGTAGAAGCCCCACATTTTGCCTATAGGTGATGATGACAGTCTTTTGCCAACAGGTCCTATTGCCTTTCTCTAAGAAGGTGATGGCCTATAAACTCTCCTTCTCCACTCTTATTTCCTTCCTGCCCAGCCTGGACTCTGATCGTCCCCCATTTCTGCCAACGGACTTCTCTCCATAGCACTTTGAGAAATTTGAGGCTAATGTTTCAACTCCTCAGAGTCCCACTGCCATCTATACCCTAGAGTATGCAAGCCTCTACTCCCACTGTGGTTTCCAGTGGGTTCTTGATGGTCACAGCACTCTTTCCTGTATGGCCTCTGTAGCATTTGACTTTGGTGATCACCGTCTCCTTAACATTCTTTCCTCCCGGGCACCTTTCTGACTCATTGACTGGTCTCATCCATGAGTCTCATTCACTGCTTCTTTCTGAAAACAGTTGCCTCTTGGATTTATTTTGTTGGTGTCAATTCTGTATGTCATTCTCTTTCACTGGGAAAGAGAATGGTATTAGAAACCAAGATCTGAGTATTCATTGCCTAGTGGTGTATTGCTACTTCTAGACTGTCTAAGCAGAGATAGGAAATAGGAATATATGTATATATACTAACTAATGTGTCTTACTTCAGGCTGCTATAACAGATTACCACAGACTAGGTGATAATTAAAAAACAGACATTTGTTTCTAGAGGCTGGGAAGTCTAAGATTGAGTCATTGGTAGATCCAGTATCTAGCGAGGATCTATATCCTGTTTTGGAAATGGCTGTCTTCCTGTTGTGTCCCTGATTGGTGGAGAGGACAGAGTAGGCAGGAAGCTCTGGTGTCTCTTCTTATAAGGGTCCTAATCCTATCAGGAGGGGTCGACCTTCATGACCTAATTATCTCCCAAAGACCCCACCTCCTAATACCATCACACTGGAGGTTAGGATTTCAACGTATGACCTTGGGAGAAGGGATACAAATGTTCAATACATAAGACCATATATGCACACATATCCAAAATCATTTGTTTTAACCATCAGCAGGTATATTAACCTAAACATGACTTCATACTTATATCTCCAACTGTAATCTAGTGCCAGAGGATTATTTTGATCTTCCTTTTTTGCTTACCTGTAACTTTCCTCTCTGACAGTGAGACACCTAGCTCCTACTACCTGTCATTCATTTACTGTCTTGTTCAATTCAGGTATACACGTATAGAGCATCAGAACTGCTAACTCATACCCCCAGGAGAAACAACTTTACCAACTGGAGTCCAGTGTTTATGTTCAGTTTCTTTTGTCTTTACCTTACAGTTTCCAGTCAAAATACTGTTTTTCAAAGTTACTTAGGTCAGTTCTTTTACCTTCCTCATCCATTTAGTACAGTTATGCCACCACTTATAATGGAGTTAGATTCATTTGTCGTAGTCTCCATTCCATCCTGGGAGTCCCCCCACCCACCTAGTTGATGTTTTGTTGTTTTGCTTGTAGGCATTAAAGTTCAGTCTTTGTGACATATAGTTCTGTGGGTTTTGGCAAATGCATAGAGTCATGTATCCACCACCCAAGTACCATACAGAACAATTTCATCACCATACTAGAACTTCTGTACAGGCCCTTGATAGTCAGCCACTCCCCCTTTCCTCAACCCTAATCTATTTTCTGTTAGTACAACCTTCTGATTTGTTTTACCGTATCCAGAGTGCCGTATAATTGGAGCCATACAGTATATAGCCTTTTCAGAATAGCTTCTTTCACTTAGCAATATGCATTTAAAGTTCTTTTGTGTTTTTCATAGCTTGGTAGTTTATTCTTTCTAGCATTGAACAATATTCCATTGTATGGATGTACCACTTTGTTTATCCATTCACCTGCTGAAGGACACCTTAGTTGCTTCTAGTCTGGGGTGAATATGAGTAAAGTCGCTATAAACATTTTTTTTTGAGATAGGATCTCACTCTGTTGCCCAGCCTGGAGTGCAGTGATGCGAACACAATTCACAGAAACATTGACCTCCTCAGCTCAAGCAATCCTCCCACCTCAGCCTACTGAGTGGCTGGGATCACAGATACCTACCACCATACTTGGCTAACTTTTAAAGTTTTTGTAGGGATGGGGTCTTGCTATGTTGCCCAGGCTGGTCTCAAGCTCCTGGGCTCAAGTGATCCTCCCGATATGCTGGGATACAGGTGTGAACCACTGTGCCCAGCTATAAACATTTTTAAACATTACATACAGGTTTCTGTGTAGACGTACACGTAATACTTTTGTTCTATGAACAATACTATAAAGAAAAGAAAAAGACAAGCCACAGATTTGAAGAAAATATTTGCCAAATTATATACCTGATATAGGACTTGTATTCAAATGATATAAAGAATTTAGAGGCTGGGCGCAGTGGCTCATACCTGTAATCCCAGCACTTTGGGAGGCCAAGGCGGGTGGATCATGAGGTCAGGAGATCAAGACCATCCTCGCTAACACGGTGAAACCCCATCTCTACTAAAAATACAAAAAATTAGCTGGATGTGGTGGCGGGCGCCTGTAGTCCGAGTTCCTTGGGAGGCTGAGGCAGGAGAATCTCTTGAACCAGAGAGGCAGAGGTTGCAGT